CATCATCATCATCATCATCATCATCATCATCATCATCATCATCATCATCATCACGATTTTTGAATAGTAGCGCACATCTCTACTCCTAGCACAATGCCGTAAGACCCCCTCCTCCCCTCTCACGACCCCCGACCCCACTCACACTACCACCACTACAACCACCGCCATGACCACCACCACTGCTACCTACTTACTCTACTTTATGATTCCTCTTGTACATCTAGGGCGTTGAGGGGAGAAAGAGCTCCCTGTCTCTAGCAAATCTGGATCGGAAAAGAGAGAGAGAGAGAGAGAGAGAGAGAGAGAGAGAGAGAGAGAGAGAGAGAGAGAGAGAGAGAGAGAGAGAGAGAGAGAGTCTCTAGCAAGTTTGATGGCCTGGCTGGGATGGATATTGTGTGTTCTCAGGGTATCCTTCACACCCTGGATCCAGGTCTTTCTTGGTCTTCCTCTTGCCTTGCACCCTGATACTTTCCTGTTGTAGGCTTTACTGGCAAGCTGGTGAGGTGCCTTACGTATGAGATGTCCAAACCACCTGATTGTTTGCCTTCGAATATTTTGAAGGACAGGTGTTGTTCCCGCCATTTCTCTGATCTTGTTGTTTCTGACCCTGTCCCGACTGATTTTATTCACGGCTCTCCTTAGACATCTCATCCCGTAGAAGGTTATCTTACGTTCCCGACTTTTGGTCAGGGTCCATGTCTGGCACAGGTAGGTCAAGGTGGGGATTAGGATAGAGTTAATGAGCTTGGCTTTGGTCTCAATGGGGATGGGATGTTAGGATGTTTGAGGAGTAGGGCAAGCTGGTAGCTGACGCTGTTAGCCTTTTGTACTCTCGTCCCAATTACTACCTTCTTTCTTTTTTTCTTCTTTTTCCTTCCTCTGGTATCCTTAAGATGTCGAGGGGAGGTGCATGTTTCGGTCCTGTGCTAGGTGTGTAGTGTCTGCGATAGATATGTTATGTTGTTCCAGGACCTTTTTAACCCCATCCAGCCAGGTCTTTCTTGGTCTCCCTCTTGATTCAATGCCGGATTCTCGGGTGTTGTAAGCTCTAGCCGCTAGATCTAGTTGTTTGTGGGGCATTCTGATTAAATGTCGAAACAATATGACTCTCTGACGTTCTATTAATTTCATTACTGGTGGTATTGCAGTTTGTGGACGTATGGTGGTGACGTTGATGGTTTTGCGAAGACACCTCGTTTCGCATGCATTGATTTTTCTTTCTTGTGCCTTGTTTAGAGACCATGTCTGGCACTGGTATGTTAATGTTGGTATGAAGATGCTGTTGATGAACTGGGATTTCACTTCGATCGGGATGTTCTGGTGACTGAGCAGGGGTGCTAGCTGGTATGTCACTGCATTTGCTTTCATAGTTCTTGTTTCTATTTCTTAGTCCATACGCCCGTCTTGGATGCTTCCCTAATATTTGAATTCCTCTATTTGTTGGAGTTGTGTTCCATCAATAAGAATGTTGAGTTTCCCTGGGTTTCTGCTGACCTTCATAACTTCTGTTTTTGAGATGGACATTTTCATGTTCAGGTGTTTACATTCCTCATTTAGTATTGTGGTGTGTTTTTGTAATTCCTCTTCATCTGTATTTAATATACTCTAGTCATCAGCAAATAGAAGTTTGTTCAGTTCAGTGATGTTGTCATTTGCTGCTTTCGTGATCATATCAATGTAAGAGATGAAGAGAAGCGGAGAGAGAACACACCCTTGTCTCACCCCAGACCTGATGGGTAACTAGTCCGATAGTCCTTCTGTTGATCTTACGGCACACAGGCTGTTTTTATGAAGTGCCATGATCTTCTCCCACAAATGTCCTCTTACACCATATTCCTCTTAAACTTCCCAAAGTTGAAATCTATCTACCCGGTCGAACGCCTTTTCCTGATCCACGAAGACGATAGTGAGGTCTTTGTCATGTGCAATGGCAGTCTCACACAACTGTCTTAATGGCGAAAATAACGTCAGTACAACCCCTGCCTTTTCTGAAGCCAAACTGGGATTCACTGAGTTGAGTCTCTACTATTCGTCTCATTCTCATTTCTAGTATTTTGGCAAGCATTTTGCCGCATGGCTGATAAGGGATATTCTTCTGTAGGTTCCACAGTCTTTTTTTGTTGTTGTTACCTTTCTTTTTCCAAATGGGTACAATAACCGCTCGTTGCCAGTCACAGGGTGTTGCTTTTGTTGCCCAGGCCTGGTTAAATATCCTCCATAGCCAGAGTTCACCGATATGGCTCCATTACTACCAGCAGCATTAATTACTATCTTCAGTTTGAGTTTTATATTTTCCCATTGCAGAAGCCCCTGATAAAGACTGTGAAACAACAGAAAGACTAGGGCCACTTGAGCAGAGCTTGAAAACCTTGCCCCCAAGGTATGTACGTGGGATCAGAAGAACCGTGTCAGAGCCGACGCGAAGTTTGAACAAATCCTTGTCGGAAGCTTTGAAGGATGAGATCGGGTGTATGATTCGCTTTAGACGTTTCACCGCAGGTTATGAGGAATTCGAGGAGGAAGACAAACCCAGAAAGAATATCGTAAGTTTTTCGGGACATTGTCATTGAGGTAACCTGAGCCGTGAAACGTTACGTCTGACCGATAATCTTTTCCTGACGGGCATGAGATCTGTAGTTACTTCTTGTGTGTTTTTGTAGACAAAATGGTGTATTTACAACATGTCTGCACAATGTATTTTAATACCGTAATCGATTCACGGCACAATCTCAGAGTCAGAGTGTTCTTGAATAGATCAGTCTATCCTTTGAAAAGGGGCTCCAGATATTTCCCAGTGTTACATGCTATTATTTTCATGTCCGATAAAAAGAAAGTAACCGGAAGAAGATAATAGACATGCAGACAGGGAGACATTGGCTGCACATTGACAGTCAGCCAGCCAGCCAGCCAGACAGCCAGCCAGACAGGCAGACAGACACACACACAAACAGACAGACCAATAGATAGGCACGCACACACGCATACAAATACACACACACATACACATAGTAGACACACACATTCACACACGCATACACATACATACACACACTGCTTAGATTAACAGCCCGCCTCCTAAGTGATCTAAATGTTGTCTTTGGGGGCATAAAACTTCTACAATTATGATTATAATAGTACTTCTCTCTCTCTTTTCCCCCCTTTCTCTCTCTCTCTCTCTCTCTCTCT